AATATATTACCACTCTAAACATTCAAATTATGTTTTATTTTTCAAACTAAGATTTATTTTCCTTCTTTATTTATACGGAAATATATTAGAGGGATGGATACCAAACAACAGGATGCTACAATCTTGCTTGCAGTGGTTTTGTTCAGACGAACAAACAATACAGCGTTGGTGCAGCCTACACTACCTTCTCGCAATACAACGGAATTCAGTACGCTCTCAACTTACTTATATGGAAGGTAATAATATTAGGCAGATCACCCTTTCTCTAAAAACTAAAATTTTATAAAAAAAAATATAATATAAAACCACTTAAAATGTAAAAAGGTTCTTACGTATAGTAAATTAGTAACAGTCTATACTTAATGAGTCTATCATATCTTAACATGTTCGATTTGTGTATTTTATATCATGAACCGCAATAAGCATATTTTCTTTCCTAAGATATTTGAAATGAATATTTTGCAATTACCAGGACAAGCCAACAGGAAACTGGTGGCTACGGATCAATGAAGATGTTTATATGGGGTACTGGCCTGGCTCATTGTTCACTTCTCTTGGAAGTGGAGCAACAAGAAATGAATGGGGAGGGGAAGTCTATGTGCGTGACGGTGTGCACTCAACCACGGATATGGGAAGCGGGCATTTCGCAGTTGAAGGGTACGGGAAAGCAAGCTACATCAGGAATCTTAAGACGGTTGATGCGACAAATACTCTGAGAGACCCAGCGGGACTTTACTCATTTGCTACTAATAGTAACTGTTACAGTTATCAGAAAGGAAGTAACGGAACAACGTTTGGGAGTCATTTCTATTATGGTGGTCCTGGTAAAAACGGTAATTGCCCTTGATCTGATCTATGTTCGAAGCTTTTGAAAATTTCACATGTCTGTAATATGAAATAAGAACATGTGATAGTCGTGATTTAAGAATCAAATCCACGAGTTAATTGTCTTTGATTATTATGTATATCCTTGATATTTATGTGTAAAAGGTTCCAGATTTCACATGTGTGTAATTTAAATAAGAATATGCATGTTGATAAAATCTTCAGTTCGTAGTTACTTGCTCTTGATCTCCCTGTAATTAAGGCTTTTTCGACATGTTTGTGTTTGAC